TGGCGGACGAGGGGTCGGCGGCGGCGCGGAGGCGGTGCGGAGGGGTGCGCAACGAAACGGAAGGATAGAATTTCCTATCTGCGATATGAGACCGCGGGCGGACGAGGGCGATGTGAGGGTCGCGGGAGGCGAGGGCGAGGGACGCGGTCCCGACTGTGCGAGATGGTAACGCGGCGCGGACGATGGCCATGGCGGACGGGAGAATCCGCGGGATGCCGGGGCTCGGATATCATTTTTCAGCAGTTTTACCTCGCAAGCACGTCCCAGGTATAAATGAGCTTACTATCTCCGAGCAACTCTTCCCCCACCCGCGTGGCGACCGGCCGACCGCGCCGCGGCGACCCTTTTCCACCGATCTATGGTGGGTGCGGCCGAAGCGTTCGGACGTCCACGAGAAAGCAAAGCGAGGGGGACACCCGGTTGAAATGAAGCTACCTTCGCGGTAGCGCAAGGCGAGAGTACGCGGAAGTCGCGGAAGATTTTCCGATACCGCGTGAATACATCGGCGGTTTCTTCCGTCCGACCGTCGATCAGTCGGATTCAACATCGCGATAAATTTGCAACGGGATCGCGCAACAACCGTCACGAGTATCTTCGTTTTATTGGACGGCGAAATAACGCGATATTTCTTTCTCTCTTCACAGACACAAGGGACCATTTGATGAGGATGACTTCGCGGATGACCGAACGGAAAACTCGAATTCGCAGCCGTCAGAGCGGCGGTGTCTGGCGGACGTTCCGCGTTAAACATTCTAATCGGGAACGTTGTACAATTCGGAGCCGGCGTTATACAAACTCACGGCACGCATGCATTCATGCACGCGTGCACGTCCATTCTTTTGCGGACAGATGAAAAAGACGGGAAATGAGATGTGCTTCGAGCCTGTAGCCCACCCGCAGAGATGACCAGTAATTTGTTAAAGGATTGACGTCTCGGAAATTGGATATTAAACGAATTCTTTTTTCCCTCTTGCGATCCGCTCTTTCCCTTTTCCTCCTCCTCCTCCTCCCTCCCTCCCCCCCACCCGCCCCGTCGATTCCAATCGCCCCGTAGATCGCTACTTTATACTCCCGGCCGGTTATCGACTCGAAAAAGAACATCGACTATTAGCATCACTTTGCGATCAATTAAATCTATTTTTTATTCCAGAAAGTGTTCCGCGATAATTATCATGCGAATTAATTCAACCGTATCTTAATATGTCGGATTCCTAATATCAAATACCGCAGCAATATGCATCATATTCACGCATGTTTATATACGCATACATTATTGGTGTATACGAAATTTCCTTTTACGAAATTTAACCGCTATGTAAATTAATATTCCGCAAAGTTCAAATTTGCAATTAGATGCGCGGTATTTAAGGAATGTTCGTCCGAGATAATGCACGCATGGGCCTTTAATCCGCGCGATTGATAAATAAATGTGTACGATACACACAATCGTGTGCCGGATGTGCCTCGACAAAGGCAAATCCCGAAGCGATTCCTATGCTTTTTACAAAACGAGTTGAGCGATACTCCTGAGAAAATGTCTCACCTGTACTCCCTCCTGGAGAGTTTCGATTTCGCTATCGGCTGTCAAGCCGAGCGCACAATTTATTGCTAGCACACAACTAACGCGAGCTTGTCGTGTCCGGTAGTGATTAGCGACGCTATTGGTTAATCTGTCGGCGATTATGTCGAATTCATCGATGCAACGTGCGGAATTCGCTCAACTTCCGATTTAATTATTGCTATTTACCATTTCGAATTCATGATGGAACGTTGCTCCACCGATCGAATCGCTGTCGTTCAGCGATATCTACAAACGCGAAGATCACGGTTGCGATAAAATTACGCGGGGGATTAGTCAGCTTAGAAAATTAATGCTGACGAAGAGAGGAAGACCGGGAGTTCTCATTACGCAACAACACAAATAATTAATTCCTAATGGAAAAAATACAAAATGCAATAAAAAATGGTGGCGATGTAATCAGTAGATTATCTAGAAAGAATTAACGTTTTCAATGTTCTCAAAAATTTGCTATTCAAATATGTGTGTGAGATATTAAATACAGCATTACGGACGCATCGGCATTCCTCGACGCTGTCGCAATTAAAATGACGATTCACTTTCTCTTCGTGAATGATCGCGCGGACGAGCTGATCGAAGTACAGTGCGATAATTCGAAAGGGTGAACAGGTGAGGGGGGAGGGGGTAAAAAAAAGCGGAAGGCCGCGGAGGTCCATGTAAAATGCATCGAGCGACTAGAAGAATCCTTCGTACGCCGTGTCCTTTCCCCGTGGGGGACCTTCGTTCTCCAAAATGGCGTGCCGCGCGATACGCCCGACCCTTCTCTCTACGTCGTCGCACATGGGTGGAGGCTAATTTATTCATTCGTTCCTTTTTACCCGGCGGTAACACGTACCGTACTTTCAGGGCACCCTTTGTAAAAAGGGTGGCTGGGCGGACGCTTACGGCGCATAGCAACGTGCTCCGTATTTACGTTGCCCGATTTCCCGCCTTCCCACTCCCCCTCCCGCACGACCCTCCGCGCCGTTACTACTTTTCCATCCCCCTTCAAACTCACCGCTCGTTCGCCCCCTCTTTCCGACGTTCCGTCCGGCCATCCCGATCTCCCGCGTGGAATCCCACCCTTACGCGGTCCTTTTCAACGCGAGCCCTTTTTGTAAGGAGACTGATTTTTCAACGCCCTCGCTGACGCCGGGGTGGTGGGTGGTCGCGGGTGTACGATGGTGTTTCGCCTTGGAGATGGAGCGGCAACTACTTATTAACCCCGAGTACGTTGCGGACGGGCGGGAAGGGGGTCCCACACCTTCGTAGGTGAATACCTACTCCGGACGCGCACGTGGTCGTGTACCGGCCTGGATCACGCCGTATTGGTTCGCCCTCGTGACGAGGCCCGCGCGTCACTGCGTTCGATCAGCGCGTGTCAATACGCGCACGCGTTCTCCGCGGTTCGAGACACGTGCGCGGCGCGATTGCTGCCCACCGTCAAGGAATGCCACCGTCACGAATGCCTATCGTTCCCGGTCACCCCACCGAATGTCTTAGGATCGCTGACACCGATAACGTTCACCACTAACCTGATTATATACAAATCGCTCCCTTTGTACGCGTTATGTAGGTCAAATTCGAGATCATTTCCATTGATTCGGGACATCCGATCGCCATCGTTATATCCAATAAACTGACCGTCATGCGAAAGGGGACTCCAAATTACTAACTGAAACAATCGATGCAACCAAATCTTGGTATCAGATTATGCACACGTAAAGTAGTTACAGGCGTTAAAATAGAAGTATACAGCGATTATATTTTAAACACGATGATTATAATTGTAAAGTTAAGTGGAAGAAGAAACGAAACAAACGTAAAGTATTTTTGCAGTTATTCAGCATCATTGAATAATCGATCTGAAAAAAAAACTGAATAAATCTATCAGTGTATGAATGAAAATACCTTCCACAATAAAAATATATATACGAACGTAAGCATTAAATAAATATTGATTGTGCAGGTATTAAATAAATATTGAATTGAAACTCTAAGTTCTCCGTGTCGCTTTTTCTCTCTATCGATATTCGTAGAGTATACATATAGCCTATAATAATATATATCGAAAAAGAGGAAATTATTCTATAAGAATATAAAAAAATAGATAGCTGAAACTCTATCGGAACGACATGTATCAGTACGGTGCGCTCGTAACACGGCATAAATGTAGCTCTTCACCGTGCAGCCGGGATGTACAATTGTACACGATGTCTGGTATAAATCGCGTCGGTCGCATTTCGAGAATTGCTAAACAGGTACGCGCGGACACAAGTTACCCTTAACGAAGAAAAGGACGAAGGGTCTGTCTGCGTTACCAGCTGCACGATCACCTCGCGTACAACCCTCCCCCTGTGTGTCAAACAGCCCCCGGCCATTCCCCGGTCTTTCTCCGTTTGCTGCATTTTCTCTCCTTTTCGCGGAAGTAATAGAGTCGTCGATTGCAGCGCTGCAAAAGGAAAAGCGAGCGAAGATAGAGACGAGGGCGCGCTTGTGCTCGTCGACTCCACGTCGAGAAAAATTCCCACCACCGGAAATCAACCCCTTCCCCTCTCGCCCCCGCAACGGAGAGACGAAGACCCCTCGACGCTTATCGCCGCGCTCGAGGATCTCCCTCTCTTTATTGCTCTCGTCCTTTGCCGTCCCTTTTCGCGGCGCGCCCTTCCACACCGTCGTTCTTCGGGCACGAAGAGCAGGAGGAAGCGAAGAGCGGTCGCCGGAACGAGGACGGAAAAGGGACGAGCGCGAACGAAGCCGAACGAGCGTGATGGAAGGGCACCAGGGAGGGACAGTGTGGGTGAGGGAAACACGGTAAAATGGTAGAGGAGAGAAAGCATGTCGGAAAGAGGAGGGATGAGGGTAGAAGAGAGAAAGAGGACCGCACAGTTCCGGCGTCGGTTGCGCAGAGGGAGCCATCGCCTGAAAAAAATTGGCGGGGAATGATGGCGCCGTCGCCGTCGACGAGTGGAGCGACGGGCCCGAGGGAAGGTGGCGGCGGGGACGCCTGGCATCCTCCCCGTTCTTCTTTTCCTCTCGCACACGTACACGCGGTAACGCTATACCGGCGTACCGGCGCCTCGGGATGCCCAGCTGGGTTACACGCACACGTGCCGAGGGATACCGCGCTCGCGCGGCCGGGGCGGTGCTTTTGCGCAAAGTTTTCAACGAATAAGGCGCCGAGACTCCGGTGCGTTGCCACGCCTACGCCACCTTTCCAGGCATGCACGGCCGGAATT